CCGCCTTCATCGCCGACATCCGTTCGATGGCCGTCCGCCTGTCGCCGCCGCCCCCGCCGCCTCCGCCGGATCCTGACTAGACGCCTGGTGTTTGGTGTGTGGGTGTTGTTTTTCTTTTCCTTTTGGGCTTGTTGAGCTGTGCCCTCAGCAGAACCTATGTACTTTGTCGTGAGTCTTGGATGGGTGTGCGTGGACTTGCTTCGGTTTGTATGCTCTGTGGTGGTTTTCTTTATTTTTAAAGCGGGGCGAAAGCCTTTTTTGGTAATTACCAGTTTTGTCACAAGAAGGGCCTCTGTATTAATTCAATGGGCTACAGCACACAAGATGATATATTGTGATGCTGCAACGGGCCATCACGCTGAAAACATATGAATAAATAACTCGATATCTGGAATGTACACAGGAGGCTCGCAGTTGAGCCTAACTCGGTTGCAAATTTACACACCCGCAGTTCCTCCTACATGTCTTGCAATGATTCAACGGCTGCACCGTAGGTTGGGGGGCTGTGGGCTCTTCTTCTCTATGGCGGAGGACCGACAACGCTGCGTAGAGCCCAATGTAGGCCAACAGAGGAACGATGAGGACCATGATGTTCCTGGATGTTTCCCATTTCCTAGTACTGCCTGCTGCGTATGCCACCAGGAGGCCCATCATGTCCAGCAAGATGGCCGTATGCATCGGCCAGAGTGGCCATGTGTCTTTTTCGGGCGACTCCTTGTCTTTATCGGTCACCTTCGGGTCTTTCTTGGCCGGCTTCATGATTTTGTCGAGCGACTTCGTGTCCTCGCCGGTTGACTTTGTGTCTTTCTTGGATGACTTTGTTGTGTATTTCTCAGGGAACAATGTCAATGAAAGTAGCATGACGACGACCACAATTGAGGCCATGAAGGAGGCAGAGTTGCTGTAGAAGAAAGCATTGTACCGGTTCTTGTTGATGTCACGGAGAATGGGGTTGCCAGCATAGTGCCCATCATTGTTGTCCTGCCATAGGCCGCCCGGTGGTTTTAGGCCAGTCTGGTATGTCATACTTGCAGCCAGGATCCCTAGCAGCATCAAGTATTGCATTTTTCCTTTCTTTTCGCTGCTATTTTTGTTGCCGCTGCTATGAGTTGCATCAACTTGCCCATCTGTAACTTCATGGGATTTGTTGCTGCTATGACCTGCTTCAAGTTGCTCATCTGTACCTTCATGGGATTTGTTGCTGCTATGACCTGCTTCAAGTTGCTCATCTGTATCTTCATGGGATTTGCTGCTGCTATGACCTGCTTCAACTTGCCTATCTGTACCTTTTTGAGATTGGCCAAAAGGGACGAAGCAGAAAACTCTACATCCTTGGGATTTGAGATAAGGCACCAACAACAAAATGGCTAGCAGCGAGGCAATGAAGGCTAGCACTGCACCAACCAAGATTAATACATAGACGGAGGTCTTGAGATTCCGGGAGCTTCCAGCAGCGTAGGCACCCATGAGGCCAAACATGCCCACCAGCATGCACACATAGAGGGCACGGCAGCGTATGCCTGGCCTGTATAGCTTAGGATTGACAAGAAGAAGGATGAGGGTTACAGACGCCATGAAGCTCGCTGCGTTGCAGTAGAAGAATGTGTTGTAACGGCGAGTGTAATTGTCAAGGAGGATTGGGAAACCCGCACGGCGACCGAGCTCTCGGTCATCTGCTAACCAGAAGCCACCTTGCAGGGTGAGGCCAGCTTGGTATATGAGGGTAGCGGCCAAGATAGCAACCAGCAACAGTACCTTGCGCTTGTCATCGAGATGCTTTACTGCATGATCACCCACTGGCTCAGGGTCATGATCTCTAATGGTGATATGGACGATGACATAGACTAGGACAATTCCTGCCAAGGCGACGATGTAGACGGATTGGGTTGCCTCCCTAGTGCTCCCGGCGCCATAGGCAGTGATGAGGCCGAATAGGTCGAGCACCAGGGCTGCTTCTAGTGTGTGCCGGTTGAGTAGAAACTTGCTCTGGAGCATCATGATGACGACCAAGGATGTGACAAAAGCTGCTGAGTTGCTATAGAAGAACACTCTGTACCTAGTAGGATGTGTCGTTTGGAGCACCGGGTGACCGATATTATGACCATCTCGGTCATCTAGCCAAAGGCCACCAGGTGGATCTAGTCCTGCTTGGTAAGTGATTGTCACCACAAGAGTAGCAAGGAGCATAACAAGATCACGAGTGTTCTGTTCATGTAGGACAACTTTCGTGCCTCTAGATGTACCTGCATATTTATACAATCAATGAGTTACGTGAATAACTAGTGTATATATACAATTAACAAGTTTGTGCATTTTTTTAAATAATAATAATAATAATAGTATAGATTAGGCATATATTTGGAAATCATTATACGAACATAAAATTGTCTCACAGTGCTCTCATAATTATAATCACACACACACACACAAGAGCGCGTGCTCAGAGTTTTATTGATTTTCTAAATCAATATAAAGTAATGGTCAAAGTTGTACCCTGGGGGGTCGACCTTATCCATATCCATATGCATGCAATTATCCAAAGCAATAAGTTTTCTTTAAATGCCAAACCAGTAAGCTTTCATAGATGCAGTAAGGTAGGATAGGTAGTGAGCCTTACCTGAAGGAATCTTAACCAGTTTTTTGAACGGTGTTAAGACAGAATCAAGCCAGTCTGCCTGTGTACCCCAAATGAAGACAAGCACCAGCAGGAGGCATACACAGACAGGAACAGTGAGGGTCAGGACAGTGTTGATAGCTTCTCTGCAGCTCCCAGCAGCATAGGCTCCCATGAGGCACAGCAGGGCGACGGCGATCAACCCGCAGGGCACCACAAGCCTCAAAGCGATGAGCCTGCCGAACAGTACCTTCTTTCCCTCGAAAAGCTTCTTTCCCTTGAAAAGCAACTCCCCAAGCAGCTTCTTCTCCAGGAGCAACACGATGATGAGCAGAGACATAGCAAACGAAGTGGTGTTGCAAATGAAGAAGACGCGGTACCGGTTACGAGCTTGTAACACCGGGTCACTCAAACGATGGCCGTCCTGGGTGCTGGTCCAGAACCCACCAGGTGGGCTCAGCCCGGCGACATATGTGATTGTGACCGCAAAGGTTGCTAGTAACATCAACACATCGACCATCTCCTTCTCACCTCGGTGCTTGCCCCCCTTTTCGATTACCTTCGCCACATCGATCTTCTTCTTGGCTCGCTTGAAGAAGTTACGGAGGGACTTGGGGTGGACCTTATTATCATCACCATTGGGCTCCAATTCCATCGCCGCCAATGGTGACGATAATAAGGTGTCGGAACTGACAGCATCATCCCTATTGGGCTCCGGCAAAGAGGAAAGGAAAACAGAGATGATCCTAAGAGGCTTTTCTTGAGCCCTCCGGCCCGGCCTAGTAAGCTGCCAGTTCCAACTCACTTCATTCACGAAGGGAAGTAGATACCTCGATGTAATTTTATTACGTTTGGAATGCTTTGCATATCTGCTGAATCTTTATAATAGATCTACATATTTAAAAAAATCTTGAAAATTTCAGGACCCTTTTATTTGGCACCCATTCGCTAGGAGAGAGTGGCCTTTGTGAATGTTTTGATGACAGTTTTAGTTGAACATGGGTGGTAGTTTCTTGAGAACAACATCCCAGAAAATGTCATGTTGTTCTGAAGAAACTGGCATCCTCGATACAACTAAAACTGCCAAGAAAAACATTTGAGAAATATCATGCTCTCCCAGTGAATGGTCGTCAGTTAGCTTTTCTGAAATTTTATTAGTAGTAAGTTAGGCCATTAAGATTTGATTGGTTTTCTATTACAATAATCACCATCACATTGGACAGTGAAAATGAAAAACGAGAGGCTTTTCTAGCTCTTCGGCTTGCACCTGGCCCGGCCCAATAAGCTGTCGGGTCCAGTCCAGCCCAAATTAAGCACGTTCACCTTTCTCATTCTCACGAGCGGAAGCAGAGTTGTCTCAAAAAGTAAAAAACTGAGCGGAAGCAGAGTGAGGGGGAATCATGGCCGCCGCCGGAGGAGATAGCGTCCGCCGCCACCGCCGCGTCCACACCGTCGCCGACACTTCTCCTTCCGCGTCCCTCCAGGTACGTGTGCTCCCTTGGACTATCCGGCCAGCTTCTCTCCCTCCCCGCTAAAACTAGGAAGAAACCCTAGAACTGGGAAGGGAAGCATGAGACCCAACCAATTGAGAGGTTCTTTCTTGTTCTGTAGGGAGAACTTCAGTTTATATCTGTTGAGCTGAAAGCCAAGGGATTGAGCCGTGTAGCTTCGCGTGCTTTGGTATTTCTCATGTAATAATGGAACAACTAGTATGTTAGTGTTAAACTTTTTAATATGATGGAAATCATAGTTGTAGCATGTATGGGATTAGTGATGTCTAACAGCTTAGCATTCAGGCATCTGTCAGCCAGTTTTCGTTTGTGTGCCTTCTTCGGGGCTGGCGGCGATGCCTGTGGGAATTGTGTCTCTGCTAGGGGCACCGTTGTGGCCCCCCAATCTGTGCTAGGAGCCTAGGATCCTGGGTGGCTGTATCTTCGGTCTCGATGACGGCGCGCTGCGTTGTCACCCTCTTCAGGGCGTCGTTGTGGAGCTCAGGTATCCTTCGGTAGCCGCTCAGATCCTGGCTTGTAGCTCCTTGGGCTCTAGCGTGGGGTGGCATAGGTTGCATCCTATATTTTACACCTTCGTTGTCACCACCCTCGGTCCTCGTTGCCCATAGGCGGGAGTGGCGCTCCATGGCCTGGAGCGAGAGGGCTGTTGGCCCTCTCCGGTGATAGCTTGGTGTGTGCTTTGCTATGATGTCCGGTGGTTTCTCAACGAGGTGCGGTTTCACATATAGTCAGAGTAGCCCATGTGAGTACCATTGTTAAACTGGAGCCAATACGTAGTTACATACAGCTTCCCGAAATGTAAGGCATATATATGCAAGTTTTTTTTCTAAGACAGGGAAAATGACAATCTTATATGCTTTTTATTCTATAAGGCTTGGAAAGTGAGAAACCTTAAGAGAGTACATACCCTGATTATTGTTTACATTAGAAGCACTGCAATGTGGGCTCCTGGTCATTCCCTCAAAGAGATCGGATCCTCAGGGAGTTAGGATACTAAAACAAAAATCAGAATTGACACAATCAATAGAGTTGAAAATTGTAAACTTAACGAAACAAAAATCTGGGTACTTAGATGCTTAACACAGGACTGATGGGTTGATATTTTCACACAGAGCTTAATATCCATGGGAATTATGTACTGGCGAACGCCAGGCCATTGGTGTGAATAGGTGTTGCATTAATTTCTTCCTAATGTGCGATGCCAGCTTGTGCCAACCGATCCAGTGTTGCTTCTGCAAATGTGACATCATGATGAGAAAGTGGATGACGCAGCAGTGCAAATGCCTCGATGTTGTATTGCTCTCCTAATGTCAATGGTTTGAACAGGTATGTGTTGCATTAGTTTTGTGACCGTGCGCTGTCAGTAGCAATACGACAGCCTTAAAATTGAGATTATGTTCCAAGCATATCTAGCTTAAAAAACTATATATGCTCATATGGCCACCACAAACATGTACTCCCTCCGCCCCAAAGTAAGTGTCCTTGATTTAGTACAACTTTAGTACAAAGTTGTACTAAATCAAAGACATCTATTCTGGACGGAGGGAGTATTACATCAAGTATTAAGTATGTATTCAGGCTTTGCTCCATGCATGACTGCTTGGTACATATAACGCCCTCTCGGGACCCTGAGAACCAAAGTTCGGCATCGTCCTCTATAATAACCCTTTGAAGAAAGAACGGGAGGAATAATTTAGCTCCTTGTCAATGCATATCATGTAGAGTAAGAAGTACAGTAGTTAGTGCATGATTGATTCAAGCGTGCTAGTAAAAATAATATGTCTGGTCTGAGACAGGATATATTGCACATTTCTGACTGCAAGTTGGAAGTAGTTGATGATATTTAATCATCAATTGGGGAGTCAGGTCTCTCTCTGAAAAGCTACATCTATATAAAATCGTGAAGTCTTTGTCTGGAAATACACAAATTATACATAAGCCTTTGATTCCAAGTTTACATGTGGGAGGGACTTCTGTTCCAGCTACCAAGCACTAACCCCAAACATACCCCATCAGTTGTGCGACGGCTGGTAGTTGATGATACAAAGGGACAGCCGATTGACCAATTGATCAAGCACAGTCGTCGTCCGCATTCATGGCAAAGCACATTGCATCCATGTCCGGGGACGAGGTAGCTGTAAAGGAGTTACTTAGCTATATATATCTACCTAGTTCACATCAGGTGTATTTTCGTAAAATTAACTAAAGTGATACACCCTCTGCTTCTGAATATAAGGTTCAGTTTAAACTGTCAAAACGTCTTATATTTAGGATCGGAGGTAGTAATATTTTACAAACCATCTTCTTAACTCCATCAAACATACCAACAACCAATTCATCTTCAAAATTGGACTTGAAACATGCCACGTCTGGACCATCATGACTGTGTCAAATTATAGTCGACAGATCGTCATAGCTTTAAGTAAGCAGTCTGAACCGTAATCTCGCATACTGGTCTATTCTGGCATAAAATACAGCGGTTGGTGGGTGCATGATTGATTTGAGCTTGCTCATAACACAATTCGAAGACTTCGAGAAACAGTATGTATGAATGCAGCTGTACATTTATTAATGTTGCTTGGGAATGTTTGATTATGTATATGAGGCGAAGAAGATAGGAAGCTGCCGAGTCTTGTCAGGTCACACAAAATATAATTAGGCAAGATGCTTATGGTGGATATAAAATTGACCATGGAGTGCTAGTCTTGTCTGATCACACACACATTATAGGGACACGACTCCAAGTTCACATCTGGCCACCGTGCATGCATTGACTATTGACTTGGTAACATGCATTGTCCGAGGGATGATATATACTCTAGCTAGAGCCCATCCATTTGATAGCAAATAAAGCAAATGGCTTCCCCCCAGGGTGACCCTGAAATTGGAGCTGCATCATCCGCAGAGCAGAGCCAGGGAGGAGGAGCAGGCCCTGACAAACATGTTGGAGTTCCTGACATTTCTAAGGCCGGGGACTCAAAGCTGTACGAGTTCAAGGAGCAGCTCCTGCTGCTGTCGACTTTGGTGGCGACGGTGACGTACGTCGCCGGGCTGAACCTGCCCGGGGGGTCCTGGGAGCAGGGCAACCCAGGGGGGCACCTCGCCGGCGACCCGATTCTTCGGGACACTCACTACCGCCGGTACCTCGCCTTCTACTACTGCAACGCGACGGCCCTCGCCGCGTCGCTCGTGGTCTCTCTCATCCTCATCATCTTGCGGAGGAAGAGCCCTGTCTGGACAGCAGTGCTGCAGATCGTCATGGTGCTCGACCTGCTCAGCCTCATCGGTGCGTACGTTGCCGGGAGCTGCCGGGATGCATTCACAACCATCTACGCGCTGGTGGTCTTCTGCGTTTTGGTAGTGGCCATCATCTCTGTTTTCTTCTCCCTTATGGTGAAGGCCCTCATCAAATGGGCTGGCAAGGTCCGTGCCGCCGCCAGCCCGATCAACACCACTGGTGGCAACCTCAGAGGCATCCTCGCCTTGAGGCGAGTCACGACGGCGATCAAGGCAATTGAGTCGCTTGCAGCCGACTCCAAAGACCGTGCTGAGAAGGAGATGGTTGATGTGTTGATGCTGCTCGCAACCTTCGCGGTCACCATCACATACGTTGCCGGGCTGAGTCCGCCTGGTGGGTTCTGGACCAGCACCCAAGACGGACACCGTTTGAGCGACCCGGTGTTACAAGCCCGTGGCCGGTACCGCGCCTTCTTCGTCTGCAACACCACCTCGTTCGCTTTGTCCCTGCTCATCATCGTGGTTCTCCTGGAGAGGAAGATGCTCGGGAAGAGTATGTTGTTTGGGAGAAAGAAGATGAAGTTTGGGGGAAAGTCCATCCCAAAGCGGCTTGCAGCGCCCTGTGGGTTGATCGTCGTCGCTCTGCTGGGCCTCATGGGGGCGTATGCTGCTGGGAGCTGCAGAGAGGCTGACACCACTGTCATGGTCCTTATGGTGCCTGTCGGTGTATGCCTGCTGCTGGCGCTTGTTTTCCATTGGAAGCCACTCACAAAAATGCATAATTTCGTCTTGAAATTCTTCAAGAAACTCGCCCATCTTGGCATTCCTTCAGGTATGACACCCTACCTGCCTACCCATACCTTACTCCATCTACCTATGTAAGGTCATGAGTTACATCACATCTTCGATCATTAATTTCTTTTATCGTTTGTAAAAGTTGAAATGTTTAGGTTTGTGCGTGTATATCTAATCTATATTAATGTATTTCAAATGAATATAGAAACCTGTTGATTTTATGTTCTAGTTAGTTGCATAACTTAGTGATTGGATGAATTGCAGGTACCTACAGAGACACGGACGATGACCACCTACAAAACACCCGTTATCTTGTTATGCTCCTTGCTACTCTTGTGGTAACCATCACTTACCAAGCAGGACTAGATCCACCGGGCGGCCTCTGGCAAGACGATCGGGATGGGCATAAGATGGGCCACCCGGTGCTCCAAACCACACATCCTACTAGGTACAAAGTGTTCTTCTATAGCAACTCGGCAGCCTTCATCACATCCCTGGTCGTCAACATGATGCTCCAGAGCAAGTTTCTGCTCACGCGGCACACGCTGGAAGTAACTCTCGTGTTCGACCTATTCGGCCTCGTCACTGCCTATGGCGCCGGAAGCACCAGGGATGTAATCACATCCATCTATATTGTTGCCTTGGCAGGCATCGTCCTGGTCTACGTCATCGTCCATATCATCATCAGAGAGCATGATCCTGATCCGGAGGATCATGCTGCACTAAAGGAACTTGATGCCAAGCGCAGGGTGCTATTGTTGGTCGCTATCTTGGCGGCCACCCTCACGTACCAAGCAGGACTCACCCCGCCCGGTGGCTTCTGGTTGGCAGATGACCAAGGGCTCGGTCTCCGTGCGGGTTTCCCGGTCCTTCTACATCATTACCCTCGTCGTTACTATGCATTCTTCTACTGCAACGCGGCGAGCTTCATGGCATCAGTAACCCTCATCCTTCTTCTTGTCAATCCGAAGCTATACAGGCCGGGCATACGTTGTTATGCGCTCTATGTGTGCATGCTGGTGGGCACATTTGGCCTTATGGGTGCATACGCTGCCGGAAGCTCCCGGCATCTCAGGACCTCCATCTATGTATTGACCCTGGTCGGCGCAGTGGTTGCCTTCATAGCCTTGCTGCTAGTCCTTTTCCGGTTATTCCCTTTATTTGACAAACCCAAAGATAAAGTGCCGGCAACTCCCAAGACGGCTGAAGCAGGTCACAGCAGCAACAAGGCAACTTCCAAGACGGCTGAAGTAGGTCACAGCAGCAACAAGAGCAGCGGCAGCAAGAAGAAAGAAAAACTTCAATACTTGATGCTGCTAGGGATCCTGGCTGCAAGTATGACATACCAGACTGGCCTAAAACCACCGGGTGGCCTATGGCAGGACAACAATGATGGGCACTCTGCTGGCAACCCCATTCTCCGTGACATCAACAAGGACCGGTACAATGCTTTCTTCTACAGCAACTCTGCCTCCTTCATGGCCTCAATTGTGGTGGTAGTCATGCTGCTTCCATTGACGATGCTGCCAGAGAAAGACACAAAGTCGTCCGAGAAAGAAACAAAGTCGGTCATGCTTCTTGAGATGACGACGGTGCCCGTGAAAGACCCGAAGTCGCCTGACAAAGAAACAAATTTGTCCAAGAAAGACACAGAGTCGGCCGAGAAAGACCTGAAGCCGACCGACGAAGGTACATGGCCACTCTGGCCGATGCATACGGCCATTTTGCTGGACATGATGGGCCTCCTGGTGGCATACGCAGCGGGCAGTACTAGGAAATGGGAAACATCCAGGAACGTCATGGTCCTCATCGTTCCTGTGTTGGCCTACATTGGGCTCTACGCAGCACTGTCAGTCTTCTGCCATAGAAAAGAAAAGTCCAAAGTGGCAGCAGATACCCAGGATGGTGGTGAAGCCGCGTAACAGTCATGATGTCATGTGATTCTTTGTCGACTTTACCTTTGGGGAGACAAACTTTACAGGACGTGTGGGAGGAAGTGCCAACGTGGAAATTCGGAACTGAGCTCATGAGGAAAGGAACCCAAGTGAGCTAGGCTCACTGTGAGCATCCTGTGTATATTTCAGATATTGAGTTGATTGTTCATATGTATTTCATTGTGATGGCCAGTTGTAGCATAGCAGTATAGGCATCCTGTGAGTTGTAGTCTATTGAATTAATGGCATATATAGCAGCATACTTTTTTGTGACAAAATTGTAATTTGCAGAGTGAAACTGAAGAAACTTGCGAAGTTAATGGCATAGCAGAGCAGTCGTATTACATCAACTTAAATTTGCGGAACTTGGATAATGACATACGCAATACCGATTCTTTCTTCACAAACATGTACAGATTATAGTGGCAGCAATAAAAGGAGAGAAACAGACTGGCCATCTCTGAAAAACAGAGAGGCTGTGAGTACTAGTAAACAAAGTGGGTCTGCATTCAGAACTGCAGGTCTTCACATCAGGTTGATCTTCATTCCATTGTGTTCCCCAAGAACAGATTGTCATCTGGGCCAGCAGTTGCCACAAGCAGCTTGATGGCCAATTGCAGCATAACAGTATATGCATCTTGTGTGGTGTATAGTCTATCACATTTTCCACACCCGACAACAGAAACAGAGCACTAGTTAGTGCAACACTTCATCGGCAGATGCATGTTCGCAAGCTGAAGACGATACCACGAACGGTGAGTATCTGCAAAATCTGACATGACAACAATGGAGTTGTTGATGTACTGACCAGTTAGTGATATGGTCACTTCCCAGTTTCAACTTGAGATCCGGCATGGCGTTTCGAGGTCAACTACATCAACAACTTCTTGCTCTGAACGATTTGACAGGTCATAGACCTGAAACGGAGTTTGCATGACAATGTTATGGCCGTATTACCGAAAGACCCTAAATATCGTCAACAAGCAAATCATATTTACCGGATTTAGGACCAATCACATTGATCTTCGTGTGTTGCAGCCGTTTTTACGTTTCAGAGTCTACTCCGGTGACGAGTCCTCGTCTGGTAAGGGTATGTAGTGTCACCACCTTAGCAGCACGATCACGAAAAACATAATTTAAAATTCGTGATCTAGCAGGGTAGATTGGAATTGGAGATTCTAGATCGATCCGTCGGATGGCTTCACCGGATGGCGTCGGATGTCCAGCCCAGCCCAGCCCAGCCCACATAAGGATACCCACAGTCGCTCCGTTCCCAAGCGGAAGCAGAGTTCTCTAAAAAAAACAAAAAGATCAAGCGGTAGCAGAGTATTTCTCAAAAAAAAGAAAAAAAAAGAAGCGGAAGCAGTGTGAGGAGGGATTCATGGCCGGCGCTGGCGGAGATCGCCGCGTCGCTTCTCCTTGCGCGTCCCTCGAGGTGCGTGCTCTCCCTAGGGTGATCCATACACCTGCTCCCCCCATGCCCCTAAGTGCGCTGGTCCGGACAAATCTCACGCAAGAGAACCCTAGAGTTCAGACCCAATCTCTTAGCTAGGCGGCCGTTGTTGAACTGATACCCAAGGGATTGAGCCGTATAGTTTTGCAGCGTTTTGCTCTTTCTGAACAACTAGTATGGAACTTATTTTTCAGACTGCAGGAGTAGAGGCTGGAGGCATTTTTAGATATATATATGCTGGTACTCCCTTGAGATTCATATTTCAATAGAGATCGGATTTGTCGCCTCTAGAGGACGAGCGGCGTCCGACTATAGATGTCCCTATCAGCACCCAATACTGTCAGTATCTTGCTAGCTCATTGTTTCACTAGTATTTTTTATGTTATAATTTAGACTAGTATCTCTGGAACCATACACGCATTAGCCATTTTTCCTTACAGCACGAACAATGTGTGGTGCCTGAAGTCTCTAGGCCTGAAGGAATTTCATTGTCTTACGAACGGGAGAAAGAAGTACTTCCTCCATTCCAAAATGGATGACTCAACTTTATACTAACTTTAGTACAAAGTTGGGTCATCTATTTTGAAACGGACCATGGGGAGTAGTATGCAATTATTTCTTCTGGAGATTGGGATCTTGGTTCCTGTGCTAGCTGGGGTTCCGGTACCAGCAATTTCTTACCTGGACCTGGACACCCCACTGGCAATGTTTCTCAAGGAGGCACCGGAACTTGACGAACATCTAGTACCTATAAATGAATACATTGATCATGCTCTTAGCAATTTATCTTAGTCACCCTGTTCAATTCTTTAATAAGTGGTTCATACTTCTAATCTTCATTATTCAGAATATACTGCGGACAAGCAGCAACCTCTCCGTGGTCTCACCTCCACAATTACTGGCCGACGAATACACTCAGCCTTATTATGATGCCCTCACTGCTCCTGTATCGTCACCCAACTCACATCTCCTTGTCACCACTGGATGCCAGAATTTCTTTTGGCGTGTTGGTAGCCACACTTGGTTGGAGTGTTCTCCTCACATTGCAATGCTCAAGCAGATAGTGTCTCTTCAAAGGCCAACTTTAAAGCATCGGCCTTGAATTTGTAGTTTTACTGTCTCAAAGTTACAATGCTCTTATAGTGAAACCCACATCATGAGGAGAGTACTAGTTTCAAGGACTCAGGGTGCTTGTTTCTAGCTTTGTAACTTTCTGAAAGCCCATGTGCATGAGTAGCATAGTTAACTGTACTGGTCAACTTCCCTAAAAAAACTGTAGTGGTTAACAGAAAAGGCTAACATGCATGGATGCTTAGCCAGCGTCTCCGATTAAAGTGGATCTGATCACATGCATTAGCACCAGTCCCCAATAATTGATTTAGTTGATTAAAGAGGATCTGATCCTATCTACATGCATGTAATCAAGCTTAATTAGGGTAGTGGCTCAAACAAGTCCATGGTGTGCATCGTGAGTTCAGATGTAGCACTGCAATATAAGGTCCTGATTATTACTCTAAAGATATCGGATCCTTAGGCTACTAAAACAAACTCGAAATTGACAACATCAATTTAATTGAAAATATAGATTTTACGAAACAAATTCTGGGAACTTGGATGCTTAACACTGATGGGTTGATATTTTCACACTGAACTTGTTGTCAATGGGAATACTATGAAGCAAACATTTGATCGTGATGCATGATGCCAACCTGTCCCGTCTGATGCGCTGCTTCTGCAAATGTGACATCATGAAGATAATGTGGGTGACGTTGCAATGCACACATCCCTCATGCGGTAGCACGTAACGCTGTACAATTGGCCCAATCAATGGAACACCTAGGTGTCGCATTATTTTTGTAGCCGTACACGGTCAGTAGCAACACAAAACTTTAATTAAGATTCTGCTCCTAGCTAATCCAGCTCAAAAAAGCATATGCTCATATGGCCACCACAGACATGTATTACATCTAGTGTTAAGTACTATGTATTCAGGCTTTGTTATTTGACACTCCAGTCAGCTTCTTGGGTCCTGCGAAGCAAAAATCCGCGCCCGTCCTCCAGTTTACTGTAATAACCCCTTTGAATAAGAGTAAGAGCAAAAAATCAATTCATGGCATGTAGAGAAATAAAATACAAGTGTGCGCTAATAGTAATATGGAGTCCTTTTTTCTGGTCAGAGTGAAGATGATATATGAATTGTGATTGTACATTTCTCACTGCAAGTTGGGTGTAGTTGATGATATTTAATCATGTACCCGGGAGTCAGTTCTCTCTCTCTCTCTGAAAAGCCAAAGGGGTATAAATCGCCATGTATTTCTCTGTTCACACATGCAAACTATATCTATCTATATATAAGCCACTAATTCCAAGTTTACATGCGGGAGAGCCTTCTGTTCCAGCTACCGACTGCTAACCCCAAACATATCCCATCGGTTTTGCGTCGAACCGTAGTTGATGATATAAAGGAACAGCCGATTGATCGATCAATCAAGCACAGTTGTCCTCCGCAGGTATCTCCATAATTCTACTTAAAACATGTCACGTCCAGACCTTCATGATTGTATCTATATAGATTATATCATCTAGATCGTCATAGTTTTATGTAAGAGCATCACTAGCAGATACCGTAAAACATCCCAAACTGTAGAATAACAGCCGTTTTACAGTTTTAGGCTAAAAAAGGTCCAGATACCACAAAATGTCTCATATTGTAATTTTTTTTACAGCTCGCCCTAAAATAAGCCCTCGTACCTCAGATCTCCAGTTTTCCCCCGGTGTTTTACAGCTCCCTCTATCTCAGAAAAAAAACATTTGGCGGGAGTGAAACTTCAGCTCAAACCGCTCCGGCGTCGAACGGCTGCAGCGTCGGAGCTCCAGTGGGAGGAGGCATGGGTCAACAGGAACGTTCCGGCAAGTGGGGAACGGCGGACGGTGAGCTCCGAGGACATCCGGCGTGTGGGAAACGGTGGACGGAGGCGCAGGACCGACGCGTGCTAGCTAGCTAGCCGCGTCCTGGCCGCATGTGCTAGCTAGCTAGCCAGCCGCGTCTTGGCTAACAGCTGCCACGTGCGTGCTAGCTAGCTAGCCACCGTCATGAGGCTGGCCAGGAGCCATGGAGTGCGGTCACACGCACTGGACAGGAGCTCTTGGTGCAGTTGCCATGGCGGCGATGAGGACCCAACTGCAATTTACATTTTAATTTTAGGGCGCTTTATGCTATTTTCATCTCACCCGAAAAATTTGCGGTACGGGCTGTTCCTTCGGAGCCCTCGCGCTACATTTGCTAGTGGCTATACATTTGCTAATGCAAGTTGGGAATCTTCAACCATGTATTAGGTGAAGAACATAGGAAGTTGCCGAGTCTTGTTCAGTCAAATAAAATATAATTAGGCATGAAGCTTAAGGTAGATATATAATTGACCATGAAGTGCTGGCCTTGTCTGGTCACACACAGTATAGGGAAATGATTCCAAGTTCACATGTGGCGGGCCCTCAGTTCTAGCTGCCTAGAGTACATTGACCCCTGACTTTGGTAACATACATTGTCTGCGGGATCGATATATACCCACGCCAGAGCCCATCCATTTGATAGCAAATCAAGCAAATAGATCCCATGGCCATCGAGCAGATAGAGAAGCCGCAGCCGCAGCAGAAGCAGGGCCAGGGCGATGAAGACGACGACTCAAAGCTGTACGAGTTCAAGGAGCAGCTCCTGCTGCTGTCGACATTGGTGGCGACGGTGACGTACGTCGCCGGGCTGAACCTGCCCGGGGGATCCTGGGAGCAGGATGACCCGGAAGGGCACATGGCCGGCGATCCGATCCTACTGGCTACCCACTACCGCCGGTACCTTGCCTTCTACTACTGCAACGCCACAGCACTCGCCGCGTCGCTCGTGGTCTCCCTCATCCTTGTCATCCTGCCGAAGAATAGCACACCCTGGACCGTGGTGCTGCAGATGGTCATGGTGCTCGACCTACTAGGCCTCATGGGCGCCTACGGTGCCGGGAGCTGCCGGGATGCATTTACAACCATCTACGCAGTGGCCGCCTTCTCCTTTTCGGTATTGGTCATCATCTCTGTTTTCCTTTCCTTATTGGCCAAGGCCAATAGGGATCGTGCCGTCGGCTCCGACACCATACCAATCACCATCAGTGGTGATGATAAGGATGTCAACTTGGGCTCCAATTCCATCACCACCAATGGTGATGGTAATAAGGTTCAGTCGTCCAAGCCCCGCCGTAACTTCATGAAGCGAGCCAGGGAGATCTATGCGGGGGTGGTAATCCGAAAGGAGGGCAAGAACCGAGGTGAGAAAGAGATGGTTGATGTGTTGATGTTACTAGCAACATTTGCAGTCACAATCACATATGTCGCCGGGCTGAGCCCGCCTGGTGGGTTCTGGACCAGCACCCAGGACGGCCATCGTTTGAGCGACCCGGTGTTACAAGCCCGTAACCGGTACCGTGTCTTCTTCATTTGCAACACCACTTCATTCACCGTGTCCCTGCTCATCATTGTGTTGCTCCTGGAGAAGAAGCTGCTCGGGTGGAAGAAGTTGAGGCTTGTGGCACTCTGCGGGTTGATCGTCGTCGCCCTGCTGGGCCTCATGGGGGCCTATGCTGCTGGGAGCTGCAGAGAGGCTGGCAAAACTATCTTGGTCCTTACTGTTCCTGTCAGCGTATGCCTCCTGCTGGCGCTTGTTTTCATTTGGGGATCACTGGCGGACCGGCTTGATTCTGTCATAACATGGTTCAGGGAACTGGTCAATATTAAGATTCCTTCAGGTACGTCTCGCTACCTATCCTACCTTACTGCATCTATGAAAGCTTACTGGTTTGTCATCTAAAGAAAACATACCACTTTGGATATAATTGCATGCATAGGGATATGGATATGGTCGATCCCCCAGGATACAACTTTGATCATTACTTCATACAGTATCATTTTAGAAAATCAATAAAACTCTGAGCACGCACTCATGTGTGTGTGTGTGCGCGCGCGCGTGATAATTATTACGAGAGCACTTTGTGACACAATTTTATAAGCATATGATGATTTCCAAATATATACCTAATTTATACTATTATTTTTCAACTAAATGCACAAACTTGTTAATTGCATACATACTAGTTAGTTGCGTAACTCACTGCTTGTATAAATATGCAGGTACATGTAGAGGCACGAATGTTGTCCTACACGAACAGAACACTCGCGATCTTGTTATGCTCCTCGCTACTCTTGTGGTGACCATCACTTACCAAGCAGGACTAGATCCACCCGGCGGCCTTTGGCCAGATGACCGAGATGGTCATAATATTGGTCACCCGGTGCTCCAAACGACACATCCTACTAGGTACAGAGTTTTCTTCTATAGCAACTCCGCAGCTTTCGTCACATCCTTGGTCGTCATCATGATGCTCCAGAGCAAGTTTCTGCTCAACCGGCACACACTAGAAGCAACCCTGGTGCTCGACCTATTCGGCCTCATCACTGCCTATGGCGCCGGGAGCACTAGGGAGGTAACCCAATCCATCTACATCGTCGCCTTGGCAGGAATTGTCCTAGTCTATGTCATCGTCCATATCACCATTAGAGATCATGACCCTGAGCCAGTGGGTGATGATGCAGTAAAGCATCTCGATGACAAGCGCAAGGTACTGTTGCTGGTCGCTGTCTTGGCTGCCACCCTCACATACCAAGCTGGCCTCACCCCGCCAGGTGGCTTCTGGTTAGCAGATGACCGAGAGCTCGGTCGTCGTGCGGGCTTCCCAATCCTCCTTGACAATTACACTCGCCGTTACAACACATTCTTCTACTGCAATGCAGCAAGCTTCATGGCCTCCGTAACCCTCATCCTTCTTCTTGTCAATCCAAAGTTATACAGGCCAGGCATACGCTGCCGTGCGCTCTATGTGTGCATGCTGGTGGGCATGTTTGGCCTCATGGGTGCCTACGCTGCTGGAAGCTCCCGGAATCTCAAGACCTCCGTCTATGTATTGACACTCGTTGGTGCAGTGCTAGCCTTCATAGCCTCACTACTAGCCATTTTCTGGTTGCTGCCTTATCTCAAATCCCAAGAAGGTAGAGTTTTCTGCTTCGACCCTTTTGGCAAATCTCAAAAAGGTACAGATGGGCAAGTTGTAGCTGGTCATAGCTGCAGAAAATCCCATGAAGGTACAGAAGGGCAAGTTGAAGCAGGTCATAGCAGCAGCAAATTCCATGAAGGTACAGATGAGCAACTTGAAGCAGGTCATAGCAGCAGAAAATCCCATGAAGGTACAGATGGGCAAGTTGAAGCAGGTCATAGCAGCAGCAAATCCCATGAAGGTACTGATGAGCAACTTGAGGCAGGTCATAGCAGCAGCAAATCCCATGAAGGTACAGATGGGCGAATTGAAGCAGGTCATAGCAGCGGCAACAAAATTAGCAGCAAGAAAGAAAAACTTCAATACTTGATGCTGCTAGGGATCCTGGCTGCAAGTATGACATACCAGACTGGCCTAAAACCACCGGGTGGCCTGTGGCAGGACAACAATGATGGGCACTATGCTGGCAACCCCATTCTCCACGACATCAACAAGGACCGGTACAATGCTTTCTTCTACAGCAACTCCGCCTCCTTCATGGCCTCAATTGTGGCCGTCGTCATGCTGCTTCCATTGACATTGTTCCCCGAGAAATACACAACAAAGTCATTCAAGAAAGACACAAAGTCACCCGGCGAGGACACAAAGTCGCTCGACAAAATCATGAAGCCGGCCGAGAAAGACCCGAAGCTGACCGAGAAAGACAAGGAGTCGCCCAAGAAAGACACATGGCCACTCTGGCCGATGCATATGGCCATTTTGCTGGACATGATGGGCCTCCTGGTGGCATACGCAGCAGGCAGTACTAGGAAATGGGAAACATCCAGGAACGTCATGGTCCTCATCGTTCCTGTGTTGGCCTACATTGGGCTCTACGCAGCACTGTCAGTCTTCTGCCATAGAGAGAAAAAGACCAAAGTGGCAACAGCCCCCCAAGTTAGGCTCAACTGCAGGTGTGTGGGAGGAACTGCAGGTGTGTAAATTTGTAACTGAGTTAGGCTCAACTGCGAGCATCCTGTGTACATTCCAGATATTGAGTTGATTATTCATATGTATTTCGGCGGGATGACCCGTTGCAGCATAACAGTATATGCATCTTGTGTGCTGCAGCCCATTGAATTAATGCAGAGGCCTTTTTTGTGACAAAACTGTAATTTGCGGAGTGAAACTGATGAAACTTGCAAGTTAATGGCACTGCAGAGCAGTCGTATTACATCAACTTAAATTTGCGGAACTTGGACAATGACATACACAATCCTCGTTCTTTGTTCACAAACATGTATAGAATATAGTGGCACCAACGAAAGGAGAGAAACAACCATGTCTAAAAAACAGAGCTGTGAGTAGTAGTAAACAAAGTGTGTCTGCATTCATAATTGCGAGTCTTCTCATCAGGTTGATCTTCATTCCATGGTGCTCCCCAAGAACCAATTGTCATCTGAGCCAGCACCTGCCACTTGTGACCTCCTTGTGAGATCTCAAACTTCGCCTCCGTCACATTGAAGGCCCCAAGATCAGCCACTCTGTCATCCGCAGCGGTAGCCTTGCACCAGATGAGATGCCACAAGCATCTCGATGACCAATTGCACCATAACAGTATATGGATCTTGTGTGGTGTAGTTTATCACATTTTCCACGTCTTCTCCTCACCTGACAACAAAAAATAGAACATTAATTAGTACACTTCATAGGCAGGCAGATGCATGTTCGCAAGCTGAAAATGACACCAGGAACTATAAGTATATGGAAATTTGCTGTCAGGTTCTTCCTGGGCGGGTCAACCGCTCGATAGCGATGCCCATCTGTTTGGCTTGCAACTTGCTGCAGTTTCATAAACAATAAACGTGGTCCAATCTAACCACGATGATGGCATACATGATAAATATGCCCCAAATGACAACATGGCGTGCATATAATCAGAAAGCATATCAAGAGTTATGATTTGAATATCTGATATGAACTCCTTTAGTTTTGTGCAGTCTACTCTGATTACAGCAGGTCATCAGGAAAACTTATTTTGGTTGCCTTACGCTTTTGAGAAACCAACCTATTTTCAATGCCTACAAAGAACAATATAGGCCATAATCTATTGCCAATATTACGGTAGAAAAATGAGAGATGAGCTAGAAATTCCCAGGAAAAGCAAAATAGCCATCGCTCTGGTGGACCCTCCTGTAGTTGACAAGTATGAAAGTGATATAGTTGTACCTAAGTGTTAGAGTGTAGAGTACTTGTAGCTCAGTGTATGTATACGCGCATAGAGCACGACCTGCGGTCAGTGCATGCGTGTGAGTAGTGGGCATGTCGCCCACGATCAGCCAGGTAGTGGCGCACGATGATCTCTGTAAACTGTATATAGTTCCAGCCGGCAGAGCTAATAGATGTGCGTTGAATCCTATAGCTACTCTCTCTTCTTCATGGTATCAGATACCGGCGACCGGCTCTCGACGATCCCGCTTCAGCCGCTATGGAAAACAACCCCGCTTCTCCCTCCCCCCCTGCTCCGGATGGCCATGGCGCTCCTGTCGCCCCGCCTCCACCCGCTCTCCTCCTGACCGCTCCTGTGTCTCCTGCTCCGGTTGGCCCTCATCCGCCCGCGACCACTGTCTCCCCCACGGTGCTGCAAACCATCGATATCCGTAGTCACGTCCCGGTCACCCTCGACTTCCTCGCCGACAACTACGCGCAATGGCGCCGCCACTTCCACACGGCGATCGGCATGTTCGGGCTCCGTGACCACGTGGATGCCGAGGCCGTTCTGCGCTTCGACGACCCCGACTGGGCCATGGCGGACCACGCCGTGGTTCACTGGCTGAACGCCACCGTCGCGCCTGATCTGCTGGATGCTGTGATGGCGGACGAAGACACGGCCCTCACCGTCTGGACAGCCATCGACGGGCTCTTCCGCGACAACCAGCTCGCCCGGGCTGTGTATATCGACGCCGAGTACCACGCCGTGGTGCAAGGCGATCTGACTGTCATGCAATACTGCATCAAGCTGAAGACGTACGCCGACCAGCTTCGTGACCTTGGCCAGCCCGTGTCCGAGTCGCGGCAGGTCTTCCACCTCCTGCGCGGCCTCAACCGCCAATACCACGGTGCCATTCCTCATATCACGTCGCAGTCGCCCCTGCCCTCGCTTCTCCAGACGCGCTCCTTCCTGCTTCTAGAGGAGCACTGCGCCGAGCAGACCGTGTGCCTCCAGGGCGCGCACGCGCTCTACGCCGGGCGTGGCGCCCCGCCGTCGCCCCCACGCCACCTGCTGCCTCCCTCGTCGTCCGTGATAACCCCGGTGATTGGCGTGCGCGCGGTGGCCGTGGACGTCGCCGCGGGCCGTGGCAATGGCGCTGGTGGCGCGCCGTCCTCACCTGCGCCTGCACCTCCTCGGATCCTCGGCCTGCCTGCTCCCATCCCCGGCACCAACTCCTAGACGGGGCTTGTTCAGGCTTGGCCCATGCCGTGGCGTGCGCCGGGGTCCGGCGTGCTTGGTCCACGCCCTGGCGTGCCGCCTCAACAGGCCATGTACGCTGCCCCCGTCGCTCCCGGTGCACACGGCTACGTGCCTCCACCAGGCTACGTGTCCCCGTACGGCTACACCCCGACGCCCGTCTACGTCGCTCCTCCTAGCGCGCAGCAGCAACAACCGCCCCTGGACATGCCCTCCCTCCAGGCCGCACTTCACAGCGCCACGGCGGGGCTGTCGTCCTCTGGCAGCGCCTCCGAGAGGTACATGGATTCTGGTGCGGCGTCCCACATGATCAACTCTCCTGGTACTCTTCTAACCCTTCTTCCCTCTTCTCCCTCCTCCCACATCGTAGTCGGCAGTGGTGAGCATCTACCCATCACACACACAGGCACTGGCTCGCTCATCTCTGGGACCTCTCCCATTCAACTGTGCAACATCCTTGTCTCTCCCTCCCTGATCAAAAACCTTCTCTCCGTTCGTCAGATTTGTCACGACAACCCTGTTTCGGTTGAATTTGACTTGTTTGGTTTCTCTGTCAAGGACCTCCAAACTCGGGCGATGATCCTGCGCTGTGAATCCACTGGTGACCTCTACTCCGTGACGGTGCCGCCCAAACGCTCTGTGCTTCCCTTCACCAGCGTCGTCACTGCTAGCCGGCTTCACCAGCGGCTTGGTCACCTCAGTTCCGCCCAGCTTCAGCTCATCGACAGTAGCTTTTCTTTCAGTAAAACTGTGCCGCATCCTTGCCATGCATGTCGGCTTGGCAAACATGTGCGCCTCCCATTTTCAGAGTCTGTTAGTTGTACTTATTTTCCCTTTCAACTAACGCTTCTTGATGTATGGACATCTCCAGTTTCTAGTGTTTCTGGTTATCAATTTTACCTAGTAATTCTTGATGATTACACTTGCTACGTTTGGACGTTTCCCCTCAAGCACAAGTCTGACATCCTTCCCATTCTGCGCGATTTCTATGCCTATGCCCGAACGCAGTTTCAGCTGCCGGTGTTCTCTGTCCAAACTGACAACTGCCGCGAGTTCGACAGCCATGCCTCGCGTGAGCTTCTTGCTTCCCACGACACTGTCCTCCGGCTGTCCTACCCTTACACCAGCCAGCAAAACAGCAAGGCCGAACGCATCTTGCGCACCATCAATGACAGTGCGCGCGCGCTCCTTTTCCACGCTTCGATGCCGCCGCGGTTCTGGGCTGAAGCTCTGAACACCGCCACCTTCCTGCTAAATCAGCGACCCTGCCACCACAGCACACCGCACACGCCGCATGAGTTCCTGCTCGGCGTTACTCCCGACTACAACATCTTGTGCGTCTTCGAATGCCTCTGTCACCCGAACATCACTTCCACCGCGCGCCACAAGCTCGACTGCCGCTCGGTGGCCTACGTCTTCCTCGACTATCCTGCCGATACCGCAGGTATCAATGCTTCGATCCTCAGTCCAAGCACGTGATCACCTCGCACTATGTTTATTTCCATGAGGACATCTTTCCCTTTGCGCACCGTGAGGCTGCAGCTCCACCCACCTCGCCACAGCTTGGGCCTCCACCGATCCTTCAACTTCTCCCCTCTACGCCCGCGCCCGGCTCGAGTCCTCCCACAGGTGCTCGATCGGCCGCGCCTTCGCGTTCAAATGCGGCCGTTGGATCGTCTCTGGACGGCTCTCACAGCCTCGCCTCCAGCGCACGCTCGGCTCGTTCAACTGTGGCCGTCCGATCCTCATCCAATGGATGTGGCTCTTCGTCGTCCACAGGGCAGTGTTCCGGTTCAGATTGAGAGACAGCGACAGGTTCAGAGGCCAGCGCCCCGCGCGCTGTCACACCTGCTACCCCGTCTCGTCGCATGGTGACCCGTGCCCAGGCTGGGGTCTTCAAAGCCAACCCGAAGTACTACGACGCCACTGCTGCCTCGTCCACCACCTCGCTTTCGCCGCTGCCCAGCTCCGTCCAGGTTGCCGTGCGTGATCCTAACTGGGTCGCCGCCATGCGCGAAGAATTTGCTGCGCTTGTCACCAACTGGACCTGGGAGCTGGTTCCTCGGCCGCCCAACGCCAACCTGATCAATGGTAAATGGGTTTTCAAGCACAAGTTCCGCGCTGATGGCTCTCTCGAGCGGTACAAAGCGCGGTGGGTGTTCAGGGGCTTCAACCAGCGCGCCGGCGTGGACTAGGTGAGACCTTCTCGCCGGTGGTCAAGTCGGCGAAGATCCGCACTGTCCTCACCATTGCTGCCTCGCGCGGCTGCCCCGTTCATCAATTGGACGTCAAGAACACGTTTCTGCACGGCATAATGGCTGAGGAGGTGTACTGCCTCCATCCGACCGGCTTCGTCGACGAGCAACGGCCTCAACATGTCTGTCGCCTCACCAAGTCACTGTACGGGCTCAAGCAGGCCCCGCGCGCCTGGTTTCAGACGTTCGCCGCCTTCCTCAAGACGATTGGCTTCACCGCGACGCGCTCTGACTCCTCGCTGTTCTCCTACACGCGCGGCGCGGACGCAGCCTTCCTC